TGCGGTGCCCTATAGCTATGTCAGCCCCTGCTTTGTCACCCTAGACCTTCGGTGAAACTGTTAGACACGACAGACTGCCACCTTTGTGGTGGTTCTGAGAAATTAAAGGGAAAGGCTTGTGCCAGTGCAGAGAAGAGACCAGATGTTTATGAAGCAGCAGGTACAGTACATGTGATTCTGTTCTTATACAAAAATACATTTCACCAAAATAGTAACACTGGCTATATACTTATTTTAGGATGATGAAATTACGTGATTTTTCTTCTTTTTAAGGAAGTATCTTTTCTAAAATTTCTGTGGTGGAACATGTATTACTTGAGTATGTGGAGGGGAAAAAAAGCCTGTGAAAGTTCTGTTTTAGAATTGTTCTGGATGTAGTAGATGCTCACCCTAAAACTGGGCTGAGGCACAGGAAGGTAGCCTTCAGGGTGAGGCCTGACAATGTGTTCCTTACATCTGGCATGGCACTGAGTATCCTCCCAGTAAGTGTGAGCTCCGCAAAGGCAAGGCTGTGTCCCCCTTGAGGCCTCTGGTGGCTGAGCCAGGTCTAGGTCGCGTCAGAAGGTCATTCTAGTCCCTCAGTGCTTCCCGGGAAACCAGAGGGGAGTCAAGTTTTGTGGGTCCTGAAGCTTATACAATTTCTTTAAGGAAACCAAATAGGTGCAGGGCCTTGGAAGAGGCCAGTGCAAGTACGGGGTTCTGAAGCTTCGGGGTAAATCCACCTCTGAGGGAAATTTCCTTCCCCTCTGACTGGAGACAGACCTCAGATGGAGAGGGCAGCACCCTTCCCTGTCCCCCATGACTCACCTTAGCCTGCTCTTGGTCTAGTCTAAATCAGCTAACCTTGGGGTGCTCTGGTGGGTCACGAGTGGGGATGGGAAGTGGCGTCACCTCCTCCTTGACTTCACCTCAAAAGTTAGACCTGGCCCTGCCCCCTCCTTCCACCCAGCTTTACTCACACATCCGTCTGTTAAGCACCAGGGATAGGCTGGGCCAGAGAGATCTCTGCCTTCTAGAAGTTTTTAGTCTAGTAGAGCTTTTATAATCCTTTTAAAAAAATTCTCCTCTCCTTTTGAAGGTATCCTGTATCTGTGCAAACGTGTACGTCACATGTTTATGTCCTAATGCATTGGGATCATTGGGGGAAGTTAGTCTATGTTTAAATGCATGCACACCACATTTCTTCAATGACACCACCCAAGTTGGGCTTGGAATGTGCCTTGAAAGAAGGAGAGACTAACAATGTTCTTGTGGTTGGGTAAATTACTCTATTAGTACAGTAATGCCTACTGCTGAGGTATGTGGAGGGTGGAATTTGGCAGCAGTGTACATATATAAATATACATATTTTAAATTTACAAGTCAGTGCTTGTCTTTAAGCATCTTAAATCTACAAAAATGATCCTAGCTAAGAAGTAAAGGTTGTAGGTTTTTAAAAAATTAAAACCTGGACGTGAAAACCCAGGAATTTTCTGTTGCCTATAATTTAATTCTTAATGTATCAGACGTAATCCAAGTTTAACAGATTTTTTTTCTTTTGGATTCTGGCAAGTATGTTAACAGGAGGCAATTAAGTGAATTAATATAAAATCCTTTTATTAAAAAAACAGAAAAGGCTTCATTTAAAGAGGTAATTTGATATTCCTTCTACTATGGTGTCGATGTCATTAACTTGTTTGATTAACTCTTCGAATGGTTTCAAAGTGCTTCGGGGTGGTAATTTATGAACTCTTAATTGATTTCCCCAATCTTGATTTGGCAGAGTCAGGCCTCCCGGAAACCGTGAGGAGGCTGGAGGCCAACACGTGGCTTCCTCCTCAGACAAGGGAGCTGGCGGGATGGACTTGACCTCTGTGGCCTGGCTTCCTGTGAGGGAGAGAAGGCTCTGGCACAGGAGATGAGAGGCCATGACGTCTGACCAGGCCAGTTGTGGTTCCTTCCTAAGTAGCTGGAGCTTTGCTTCCTCTGAAAATGTGTGGAAACACTGCAGGCAGTTTCACAGCTCATGAATTCAGGAGTAGATGGCCTTTTAGCCCACATCTTTCAAGAACTATTTCCCATTGTGCATCACCTCAGAACGTGAGGCTTCTTTGTGTGAGGAAAGATGGGAGTGGGGTAGACTGTGGGGATGCAGCCCCCACTATGGGCCTGCCACCCATCCATTTCCCATCCAGGCCGCTATTCCTCAGTAAGCCTATCTCTCAACGCTGCACAGAGGAGGCTCTGGGCCTAGGGAAGGCTGGGGGCTAAGCTCTCACCTCTTAAAACTGCCACAAAAGCTCACTGAGAAATCAAGGCCCTAGCAGGACCCAGAGAAATGATTATATAGATGGTTACTTTTATCGTGTGCCTGCTGATTACCTACTCTCAAAATCTCTTAGACAGGGAATAGCTGCCCCAACTTTACCGATGAGAAAAATGAGGGTCAGAGAAGTTAGTGATGACATCAAGCGAGTAGGTGGTGTGGCTGGAACTCAACCCAGGCAGCTGAGCATCCCAACCCGAGTCAACAGATAGGCCACTATATTCTTGGTCACAAGGTATGCGCTCCTGAGGGCGGGCCTGGGCCCTTCAATTTGGTATGCCTCCCTCTCCGATGTGAAGCACAGAGTGGTGAAGTCATGGAAAGAGCTTTCACTGGCCTTGGAGTCTCACATTTCTGGGCTTCACCTTCCTTATCTATAAAATGGGGATAATATCCACTTCACTGGTTGTTCGATTATATGAGATAATATAAGTCGTTGGCACATTGACATAGGCTCAAAGAATGTTTCATGAAGGGGGAACGAGAAGGCAGGGGAAGGGTGGGTGGAGAATTCCCAACTGTGTTGGGAGCTAAGTTCTGAGCTAAGAATAGGGAAGAGTGAGTAGAGCAGTTTGGCCAGGGCCAAGGGTCTCTGATGGGTGGTTGTGGCAGATGGGAGAGGGCATAAATAAGCCTGAACATTCTCCTGTGGGTGATGGGGCTCGTTTGCTCCTGTATGTAGTGCAAGCAAGGTTTTGGGAGGAGGAGAAAGGACTCTCTCCAGCCAGTTAATATCTGCTGGCTGTGCCAGGCTGCTATGAGACTTGAACCCCTGTTTACTGTAGAAGTGGTGGGCCCAGAACCATCAAGGGTCTCCGGAAGCAAAAATTCAAACACCATCTACTCTGAGGTCTGGCTGTAGAGGACAAATGGAACTATGACTGCTGGCACCAGGACCTGGAGTAGCTGTTCCCAGGCCCAGTCCTCCCTGGGGGTAGATCCAGGTTGGAGTTCAGGCCTCGACGGAGGCAGGACAGTGAGATGTCACCCCTACCCCCACCCCACTGAGGGGCACTAGAGCACAGTGGCTGCGCCATCAGAGGCACACTGGGTTCCAGTCTCTACCACTGTCTGGGCTTTGTGACATTGACAAACCAATTCACCTCCTTGGGTCTCAGTTTCCTCATCTGAAAATGGACATGGACATGATGAAGTAGATCCCTCACAGGGCTGTTGTAGTTGTGAGGAGTAAGTGAGTTAATACTTATAAGAAGAGCTCTTGGAACAGTGTCTAGCACATCGTCAGCACCAGGAAACATTACTGATACACAAAGTGCAGTGTCTGTGGAAGGCCAACCCTGGCTCAGTGGCTGGTGAAGGGCAGGTTGCCCCCTCCTCAGGTGGACTCAGCTGGGCCTCAGCAGGGTTGCAGGAAATGCTAACAGCCAAGGCTCAGTGCCCCTCCTTTGCTCCTCATCCCCTGAGGGGTTGACAACAGCCATAGGAATTCCACCCTCAACAGGACCCAGATTCCCCTCCAGCCCAGTGTCACCCCAGAACTGAAGTGTCCCCCCAGAACTGAAGTGTCCCCAGTGAGGGCTTCCAGCTTATCAGATGGTGGAGGACCACTGCCTTCCCTCTAACCCTCAGCACAGATCTGCTTTTGCCCTTGAAGAGCCTTCAGGGCCCACTGACCTCCCCCTAACTCCTCAGACCCTCTCCCACTCCCCTCCACGTCCAAGGCTCTTTCCTCGTACAGGACTCAGCTCAGAAGCCCTTCAAGTGTTGTTTGTAAATGTCATTTTGTGGGAACAAAATGATTTTCCCTTGAAGAGAACAAGGGGGGAGCACAAGGAAGAGGTGTGGGCAACAGAACAAGCACCAAGTACCCGGGAGCCTCAGGTGCTGGAGCCTTACGTGAGGAGCCTCTCCACACCTGCGCCTCATGCCCCTTCCCTTCTTACTTAAAAGGTTTTTCCCTTGGAATGTTTTCAGCTTCCCTGAACAATCAGAGCTCCCCACACCCAGCAGCTCTTGGGTTCCACTCCCATGAGGGGCTATTGGGGCCACAGGACAAGGGCGCCAGGGTCTAATGGGAGATCCCTGGTCTAGACACGGAACGCCTTCCCACCTTCCTACCTACACGTGCTGCTGTCTTGATCAAGTGGCTCTGTCCCTTCGTGACGCGGTCTCCCCATCTTTCCCAGGGCAGTCATCCCCAACCCTGTCCTTCCACCAGGACTGGGAAAACCTTTGAAAATAGTCACTCTGTCCAACTGATGCCTAGCATTACCCAGGACGCAGGAAGAATTCTCATCCCTGGGGTGTTGAGTACTTATTTGTAATTGTGCTTCCCTACACATGATGCGAGTTACTTCAGGGTCTCTATCCCTGCCTCCCGCTGAGATATTTTCCCCTCTATTGGCTCAGCAGACAAATGCAGACCCTTGCTGGAATATGATATATGATAACAAAGCATCCAATGCTTCAGAAGGGCCCCATGAGCTTTACCCCACCCTATTATCCTTTAGAAATGGTCATTGAACTGGAAGCTCAGATTTAGAGGGAGGGAAGTGGAGAAAATTTCATGGAGTCTCTAGAGAAGGGGCAACAAGAAGCCTTTCACACTAAAAGGAGCTGTTCTCTGCAGCTCCAGAACAGGGTGGAAAGGGGGGCCTCTAGTCCCCACACCCAGGCCCTCAAAGAACATTTGGCTGGACCCAAGAGGTGTCAGCCTCCCACCCAAGGGCCTTACCTGTGCGTGCTGGGGCCTGGCCGGGTCAGGAGGTGCTGGTCCGTGGGGCGTGTGGCAGCCGCACACCCAGCCGCCTCGACTGGCATCCGAGAGCCTATTTTTAGGGTCAGATCTGCTGACGCTGACCTTGCGTGCTGCCCAGTCAGAGAAGAGACCTGTGGCGTCTGCTTGCAGAATGATTCACCAACGTGACCTGAAACCCTTGACTTCGGGAGTCCTGTACCTGGAGCCCTCACGCTTGTCCCCAGCCCAGCCACAGAGGCAGGACATGTGGCCGCCGGGGCAGGGACAGGCAGGGGGATTTCCCAGTTCTGTTTTCTTGGGATGGACGAGGCCAGGTGTTTGTGGGGCCCAGCCCGGGCTCTGTCCCGGAACAGCTGGAACAGGGGAGGTTTGCCCGCTGGTGCAGAGCCTATGGGAGGGTCTGGGGCGCCCAGCCTGAGGAAGAACTCCCCATTCCAGTCTTTTCTGAGAGTTTGTGGAGCCATCTCTGGGGTGTGGATGGAGTGGATGCTACATCATGCAGGGGCGGTCAATGAAACCCCAAGAGACTGTAAGCTTGTGTTCATTTACATTGTGTCACTTCCGGAGAAACCTCTGACAAGTGGCCAACCCTTCTGGGCTTCAGTGGGAAAAATAATCATAACGCTGTTCTCTTATGTTGTTACGAGGGTTAAATGAGATAAAGTACGGAAAGTACTTAGCACAGTGCCTGGCATGTGATAAACATTAAAAAAATGCTAGATGGTATTAGTATGCCAAAAAATAGTCCCAATTCAACATCCCTGGTCTCTCTTCTTAGTGGTTCCTTCTCTCATCCTCCCATCTTGTTGGCTCCAGGCTTATTTGCTCCAGGATCCCCACAACAAGCCCTACTACTGTGGCCCTCTTTTTAGTGCTGAGACATGTAGTCCTGTCCAGGATCCTCTAATTTTCTAGTAAAATCTTTCCAGGACTTCCTATCATTCCTTATAACAAATGACGTCGTTTTCTATCTTTCCCCATTCTTATCACTCCCTTTTGGGCATACTTTAATGTGTGAAGGATTGAGGGGAGAGGGGATGGAGTCACAAGTCTCCCCACAATCCTTCACTTAACAGGGGTCGCGGTCTTTCTTGTGTCAGGGTCATTCTGTTGTCCTCTGCAACTTTGTATTCAGCAAACCAAAGATCTTCCTCACAATTTGCAGGTTAGCTACTGCCAGTTTTATTTAGAGTGCTTACTTCTACTGTATTAGTCACTGTGAAACTGCTAAAAGACTTAGCTTTTATTGATTTCTTGGTGCAAAGAATATTTACAAGGCAAAGACTCAGGATCAGTGTACAACGAGGCCAAAATGTCAGGGTCCAAATATCCCTGCTGTCAAGCGCTGGAGTCAGAGCAGTAGGGTCAAAAGGCCCTTCTGCAGTTACCCCAAGAACTAAAGGAGTCAGAGATGCTGGAGCTGACAAAGACTGAAGAAAGATTTCCATCTAGCTGGGAGCCTGAGGGGCTGGTCCCAGCCCTAACCCTAGCCCAAGTCAAGGGCTAAGGAGGCAAGAGGGGCCTCTGAGCACGTAGGTTCAGCAGGGGGGCAAAAATCAAATATCTAAAGACATCTGAGATTAGATAGATAGATAGATAGATAGATAGATAGATAGATAGATGATAGAAAGATAGATAAGAGAGGGAGAGGATGTTCAACTAAATTAAGCCAAGAGAAGAATTTGGTGGGTTGCTGGATTATCACTGCCATTAGAGTAGACCCTAAATGTGCTTGACCAGAAGACTGGTGACCTCCCTCCCCACACCCCACATGCCCCCAATCCTTCACACATTAAATATGCCCAAAAGAGGGTGACAAGGATGGGGAAGGGTGGAAAATCACATCATTCATTATGAGAAGCTGTCAGAAGCCCTGGGAAGATTTTATTAGAAAAGAGTGGGGGTGGTGGCAGGGGACACCTGGTCTATCTTCTAGTAACTGAAGTGCTGAGCTGTGAGAGAAACAATAGAGCTCTCTGCACAGTTCTGAGGACAGAACTCAGGCCATGGGTAGATGCCATAAGAGCTGCCTCATGTGCATGCAGCAAACACACTATCCTGCTGGGATGGGAGTGAACCAGGTAATCCAAAGACATCTCAAACTCTTCACAACTCCAAGGATAGTCCCTTGGGTTCTGTGCAACTGCAAGCTGCACTAGTGCAGGTAAAGTATGATCTGTCGAAATAGCTGTTATTTTCATGTAGCTTCTTAGGAACTTACTTACAACAATGTTTGACATAGGTTTTTCCCCACCACTGGTTCTCTGACTCATCTTTTTTTTTTTCTGGTGAGGAAGATTGGCTGTGAGCTAACATCTGTGCCAGTCTTCCTCTATTTTGTATGTGGGACGCCACCACAACATGGCTTGATGAGCAGTGTGTAGGTCCATGCCCGGGATCAGAACTCGTGAACCCTGGGCCACCAAAGCAGAGCATGCAAACTTAACCACTATGTTACTGGGTTATCCCCAACTCATGTTATTATTATTATTATTTTTTTTTTTGGTGAGGAAGATTAGCCCTGAGCTAACATCTGTTGCCAATCCTCCTCTTTTTGCTGAGGAAGATTGGCCCTGGGCTAACATCCATGCCCATCTTCCTCCACTTTATATGTGGGACACCTGCCACAGCATGGCTTGATAAGCTGTGCGTAGGTCCACGCCTGGGATCCGAACTTGTGAACCCCAGGCTGCTGAAGCCGAGCACGCGAACTTAATCACTACGCCACCAGGCTGGCCCCTCATGTTATTGTTATTAGCAACTCCATTTCCCCAGAATCTCCTTCTACTTTCTCCATTTTCAGAGATAGGTAGACACTGCTCTTTGTCCCAGCCTCTCTGGATCAGAATCCCACTTAGGCCCAGTGGCAAGTGTGGTAGGCAGAATATACCCTCCCCTGGCCCCCCGAAGATGTCCACATCTTCATCCCTGGGACCTGTGAATATATTGTGTTACATGGCAAAGGGGAATTAAGGTTGCAGATGGAATTAAAGTTGCTAGTCATCTGACCTTAAGAGAGGGAGAGTAGCTTGGATCATCCAGGTGGGCCCAATGTAATCACAGAGATTCTTAAAAGTGGAAGAGAGAGGCAGAAGAGGAGATTGGAGTGATACAATGTGAGAAGGACTCAATTTCCTGTTGCTAGCATTGAGGATGGAGGATGGGGCCACAAGCCAAACAACAGCCTCTAGAAGCTGGAAAAGGCAAGGAAACAGTTTGTCCCCTAGAACCTGCAGAAGGAATGCAGTCCTGCCAACATCTTGGTTCTAGCCCAGTGATACCCATGTCAGATTTCTGACCTATGAACTGTAAGATAATAAACGTGCTGTTTTAAGCCATTGAGTTTGGGGTAATTTGTTACAGCAGCCATAGGAAACTAATACATGAGGTTTGGCTAATACATGACTTTTCTGGGTCCAAAAGATCCAGAGGCTTCCAGCGTTCTGTGAACACCTGAGTTTATGTGGACCCTGAGTCCACCTAGAGCCCAGACTGAGCCCAGAGGGCTGAGGCCACATCTTTGTGGCAGACATGTGGCGTCTGATGGCTGTAAGCCCTCTGCTCTCCTAGAGATCTCTCTCTTCTTTCGTATTAAAAAGAACCAAAGCAAAGCGAACAGACTGAGGCCCATGTTCTGCAGGAAACCCAGGGCCCTCCTTGACAGCTGGAAGGGCTGTTTTTCCCCTGAGAGAGGTATAGGTAGGATGGCTCTCATTTCTCCTGAGTCGGTTCGCTGTAGCCTTCTCCACCCTCGCTGGCACCTCTGGCCTCTCACTCCTCCAACCTCACTCCAAGCTTCACACCGCCCTCTTCTGTTCTTCCTCCAAAGCACCACCCACCCAAAGCCATTGTGTGTGGCAGAGGGGACCACAGCACAGAGCAGGAGACAACTTTATATTTAATGTCTAATCTCTGTATTCTTAGAAAATTATTGGCTAGGCCCCATTCCCAGGGAATTTCTCCTTCCAGAGACTTCTGTCCCTGTCCCTGCCATGTTCAGGAGGCTGCTCTCTGTATGTACTATCATCACAGCTTTCCTTTTCTGCATTCTTGGTCTCTCACCCTCCTCTCTAGATCTGAGTCCCTCAAGAGGCTCCAGATTCCTCCTCCCTTACGATTATGCAGAGCAGGTCAGCTCCCTCTAAATCTCCACCTCCCAAACAGGCTAAGCCTAGGGGCCTCCCTTTCTCAGCAAAAAAGCCCACCAAGGTATTTTCTTAGATAAGTCACCAGTCCAAGAGGGGAATTTTGGATCCCCTAGACAGTATCGTCTGTAGACCCTGGAAACAGGCGTCCCTGCCCTGAGCTTGTTTTTCAGAGGTCCCTGCATATCACAAACACACACATACAAACATTGAGCTACCCCTACGCATCTATTAGAATGGCTAAAAACAAACAAAAAACCGACAATACCAAATGCTAGTAAGAATTTTGGGGGCTGTTGGAACAGTTCTGTATCTTGTTCGTGGTGGTGGTTATAGAAATATATGCATCTGTCAATAAAACCAAGAAGAGTGAATTTTGCTGTATGTAAATTTAAAAATAAAAAGGTTACATGGGTGCTGCCTTGCTCACTTGGGATCTGGCTTTCAGCACCAGCAGAGTGTGACCCATGAATCTATCCACTTTTGTGACTAATGCCATTTAAGCCACAGATAATGTGTTTCCCTTTCTCTTGCTCTGTGTCCTCAAAACAAAAGGTAACTGAGTCTGAATTCCATGAAGTTTGGTGGGTTGTGTTGCTGCTAACCTTGGAGCATGGAGGAGGATTTGAGCTGTGAAAGTGCTTAGGTGAGAGAAAAGATAGCTTCTTCAACTTGTCCAGTCGTCTGCTCAGATAGTACAAAAACCTGGTCATGCTAAGCATCCAGTGTGTCACTGTGTTCTGCTTCTGGATTCTGGAGGTGATCCAGAATTAGCGTGATATTCGTGACAGTCACACAACAGCTGAGGAATATTTTGGTATATTAAACAATTCGTAGTATTCTTTAAAATGTGTATGGGTAGATCTAAATGTAGTAAGTGTGAAGCATCATGTCAATTCTTTACATTGACTACTAGAATTGTCAATAATTTTATTTTTATAACAATAGTTTATAAGATTTAACAAAACTTTCAAAGAAGTAAGATTTTCAGGTTCATTAGATCATTTTGATTTAAAATTAATATTCAATAATTATGTAGTCCCTTTTATTTTTAATAGAAACTTTGAATATTTTATAAAAAGAACTCTTTTGA